GGCGCAGACAGACTCAACAAGGGCCCGCCCCTTAGGGCAGAGGCCCCGCCCCAAACAGGTTCAAGGTAGCCAAGGCTCTGGCCCTTGGGCATTGGCTCCCTTCCTCCCCTCCCCCCAACCCCCAGACTCAAGCACAACAGAGGCCCTGTCCTGGCGCTGACAGATTCAAGCACAGCAAAGGCCCCGCCCCTTGGTGAAGAGGCCCCGCCCTAGACGGATTCAAGGCATGCAAGGCTCCGCCCTTGGGGGGGGAGAGGCCCCCTTCCTCCCCCCTCCCCCCCAGACTCACGCACAGCAGAGGCCCCGCCCCGTACGCCGCCAGATATCAGACCCAGCGCACACTGCGCCCCCAGCACCCTAACAGACCTGGAGGCCTGGTTGTCAAAATTTGTAATCCCACAAATCATAAGCCTCAGGGTAAGGTGTTTGAGAGCCCAAAATATTTTATTTAACTATTTGCGTTTAGGAAAAATAGCAGCTCCCACCTCCAAGGAAGCTTCTTGAATCAAAGTGGTTGGCAGTGGACAGAGCCAGGGCAGGGCTGGACTAGAGAGTGGAGGGTGGGGGCCTTTCTCAGTGACTGGTGGGAATGGATGGATCCAGGCATACTGGTCTATGGAACATTCTGGAAACTATTCTGGAAGGAGGGGGATCTTTCCTAGATGATAAAGTGAACCAGAAAACTGGCAAGGGCTGTGCTAATTCCACATTCTACAATTTCTACACTTACATTTTAAAGACCAAACAAACCTCTTATGTTGCCCCAGCAGAACCTACCCAAATTATTACCTACTGATTTTTTATAAATATTTAAATATTTCTCTTTTTCGGCCTCTTTAGATCAACAGCGAGGGCAGTCGTAAGAACAGTCGGTGAAGCCTTAAAGCTCTGAGTGCAGAGGCGGTTCTCCTGCAGGGCGATATGGCTGAGTTGCTGCCGGAGGTCCCCACGTGGGAATTAACTCAGGGGCCGAGAAGTCACGTTCCAGAGCATCTCCAGGAGATCTTTCAAGCACTCCTTATAGGTGCTCCCGACTCCTCTGAGGATGTCTGCTTCAGAAGAGCGCTGAGGAGCTGGAGGGCACACGTACCCCTCATGGTGGGCAGCCTGGCTACTTCCTCTGGGAGGAGTCTGGCCAGCTGCCAGGAACCCCGTTTCCACACTGCTTCAGCATGCCTGCCACTGCAGCTGGGCCCAGTCCTCATCAGGCCACAGAGAGCTGAAGTGAGACTCTGAAACCAGGGCTTCCCTCCTGGATGTGAGCCAAGGCCACTGCTCGCCCTCCAGCACACCCTTCCTTTGGCTGTGACCTCTTCCCAGCTCATAAGACAGGGGAGAGCTGCCAACGTGGTACGTGCTGGGGCTGGGGCTCCCCCACTTGGGTCAAGCACTCATGCTTCTCTCAATGTCCTGGAAGAACCTGGGAATGGGAATCATCTGCACTACTTCTCAGGGAGGTCTCAGGGAGGCAGGCCCTGGTTGCGGAGGAACAGGGAGCAGGACTTGCCTGTGGTCCAGCCCTGCCCAGCCTCACGTCATGTGGCTCTCAAGTGGCTGAATCACCATTCTTAAGTCATCGTAAGTGACTCAGAAAGGAACACTGTTCTTTTATGAGAAAGATCTTTTGTCAGATTCACTCTATCCAGCATCTGAGAGGATGGAGTTGGTTTTGCAGTAATTCACACACATGGGCGGAAAGGAGGGGGCGCACAGTGTGGCCGGCTCTGAGCTGCGGCTGTATCCACGGGAGGCCTCCAGACCCGAGGCAGGTCGCGGAAACAGTCATCTTGGGGTTCCAAATGAGAATCCAAAACGAGTGATTTCTAGTTCAACACCGGGTATTTCCTCTGGCCAATTCTTCCCAGTCTTGAATTCCCCGAGTTGACAGAGGCCTACAACAAAAGAAACAGCAGCACTGGGGCTGGGAAGGTGGCTCAGTGGTAGAGCGCTTGCCTTGAATGCCAGAGGCCCTAGGTTCGATTCCTCAGCACCACATAAGCAAAAAAAGAAAAAAGCCGGAAGTGGTGCTGTGGTTCAAGTGGTAGAGCGCTAGCCTTGAGCTGAATAGCTGAAGGACAGTGCCCAGGCCGAGTTCAGGCCCCACGACCAGAGCCCCCCCCCCCAAAAAAAGAAAGAAACAGCAGCACCGTCCTGTACATGTCCACTGGGTACTGCCCAGGGAACCCGTGGTAACACAGACAAATGATTACAGGTTATAGCTATAAGAACTGAAGAGCTGGCCCCAGATCTCCCTCGAAGGGACTGAGATTTCAGCAGTCAGGGTTTCCTACTATTCTAGGTAGTTCAATTTTAGTTTGCTATTTAAAGGGCCATGAGGAATGAGGCTAATTCTGCAGAGTTGGCCCAGCTGATTGCTTGGTGAGTCTAGGGTGAACAGTGGCCTGTGGTCACATGGTGCCACATGGCATGGGTGTTGTCAGGTACCAATGGAGACACCACCAGCATTTGCTCTTCTCCCCTTTCAAGACTTCATTAGGATCAAAGCGCAGGGATCTAGTCTACTGAACTACAGCTGAAAGGAAAAGGGGAGATAAAAATGACCTAAGCTTGAAGCTATGACGGGGACACTGGTGATAACTGGGGACAGAACAGCCCTGGCTGACGCGGGGCCGTTGCAGGGAGCACCAGAACCAGTAGGAGAGTTGTCAGGAATGAGCAGGGCAGCTTAGGGGTGAGTCTCAGCAGTAGAGTAGCTGCCTCGCTGTTGGAAGCTGAGTTCAAATGTCCGTACTGTAGAAAGGGGGGAACTAGAAGGGAGGCCAGGCCTAGCAAGTGGCTGCGGCAGAGTCTATGTGACTGTGTGTCACTCAAATGTCACATTCAGAATGCCAAGTGTCCACCTGAACCTTTCCCTGTTCTCCCACAAAGCTCCCCGCCCCCTTGCTGATCACACACCAGACTATATTCTCCCAGGCAAGAGACTGACAGACAGAGAGCAGAGGAGACAGAACACAGGAAACTATCCAGAGAGCTTCTCTGTTCTCTGGCACAAGTACACACATGACCAGGGCTGGGGAGTAGGGCAGTGCCCACCGGCCTTAAGAACAGAGTCGTGTCTCCAGGCCGCAGAGAGAGGATGAAGGGCCTGGAAGCTCATGATGGGCACAAAAAAAAATGCAAAGACAGCTTCAGTCCTGAAGCAAATTCCTGCCCAAGGATTCTACCAGCCCAACCATCAACCCAGTGCCCAGGGCAACAGAGGTATTTTCCCTACGAAGTCACCACCATGTCATGAAGCTCCTAGAAGGTGTGCCACCAAGACAAAGGTTTTAACGGGAAAAGGCAATGTGGAGGGTTCTACACCAGCAATTGCAGCTTGAGACAGGCCCCAGGGGGTGGAGAAGAGATGGGAGTCTGTGGCCACAGGCTCCATAATGGCAGGAGCCATAAAGCCCAACGTGAAAAGCCACACATCACACACTTGCCCCCTAGGAAGGAGAAAGATGCTCACTTGGTCCACACCCAGTGCTGGAGCAGAAGGCCCGGGGGTCCAGACCCTCCCCTCCTGTGGAGGCGGCCACCAGAAAAGGCCTGAATCTGAAGATCCCAAAGCAGTGGCGGGAGCATGGCATGAATGGAGGCGGAAGTTGGCTGAGAACCCAGGGGGGGGAGAGGTGTGGGATGGGGGAGGGGCCAGCGGCCCATCTCCTCACACTTCGGTGGGTGAGCAACTCTGGATGAGAAAAGGAAGAGTCTGGGGAAGAAAAGACACATTCACTGAGCAGCATGGTGCCAAGTCAGCAGGTGAGAGAGTCAGACTCAGGCAAAGGTAGATGCTACTCACCTGTGCTAGGTGAGCAGGGTTGTAGAAGGGCACTGCCCCACTGGGAGGGGCCCCAGCAGGGCCGTGGTCACCGGTAGCCTGCAAAACAGAGAAGCTACCTCAGCAACTGCTGCCTCAGCAGACAGGCTGTTCCTCAGAAAGGTGCTGATGCTCCCAAGAGCCACAGCGTGGGGCAGAGGCAGCTCTGACAACACTGGTGTCATTATGAGTGGCAATGATCAAAGCAACATGCAGAGCGAAATGCTTTAAACACCACCACGTGCACAGACAGCGCAGGCCAGAGAGATGCCCTGTAGTGTCGGCCAAGCAGTTAGGAGACCGGAAGTAGGTGTGTATCAATACACAGATGAGAGACAAGGTCTGTCCCCACCCCCCATAAGATGCCATCAGACAGTCCTGCTGGCCTCACACAGACTTCTTCAAGTTACTCAACAAGAAGAAACCTTTCTTCCCAAAGGAGCTTCCTGACCTGGGAGACACTGCCAGGCCAGGCCTGCCTTGTAGAAAAACCAACTCATCCAGGTGCTCTGAACCCCGGGATTAGTTCACAGATGGGGCACCTGGAAGCTACCACAGACTCTCCGCTCTGAACCCCAGGGTCAGTCCCCAGACGGGGCATCTGGAAGCTGCCACAGTGTCCACGGGCCACTTAGGGGAAGGAGCACTACATCTCAGAAGGCTTGGCTAAGACAAAGGTGTGTTAGTGACAAAGTGTGTGGGACGATGGACCAGCACTCTCAAAGGGACAGTTCTACTACACACACCAGCCCATGGAAAGAGAGAGCGGCCAGCCACAGGTACCTGATGAAAATGCCGGCTCACTTCCTGTGAGAGCGAGCTCATTGAGCTACAGCGCGAGAGCTACGGAACAGCAAGAACACACACAAGATACAGACATGAAAATCAGCATGCACGGTGCGCTCCCAGGCGCCAGGTGAGCTTCCGAAAGCTTTATGATGCCGTTAGGATCCACAGAGTTCAAACAGGGCAAAGCCAGAGTTAAGCTTTCTTCCTACTTTAACACAGGTCTTGTTAAGAAACCATTCGTCTTGTGGAGTGGGAGCTCTCTTACACCTCACAAGTCAAGCACCGTCTCGCTGCGTTGAGGGAGACCCTGACGGAAGGAAGGCAATGCCACCCCTCCCCCCACTCACAGCTCCTAAATGGTGATCAAACAAGTGTCGTGTTTTTCTAGGAGCGTAAGGTTTTTCAAGCATTTTGCTCCATCCTGCCCTTGTTGTTTCTGAGTCTATACAGCGCCCCTTCCTGTTCATTTGCACTCCTTTTCTTTTTTTTTTTTTTGTCCGTCGTGGGGCTTGAACTCTGGGCCTGGGCGCTGTCCCTCAGCTCTTCAGCTCAAGGCGAGCACTCTACCACTTGAGCTACAGCGCCACGTCCGGTTTTCTGGTGGTTTATTGGAGATAGGAGTCTCATGGTCTCTCCTGCCCGGGCTGGCTTTGAACCGTGATCCTCAGATCTCAGCCTCCTGAGTAGCTAGGATTACAGGCGTGAGCCACCAGCGCCCGGCTCATTTGCACTCCTTTTCAAAGGCTGGAAGACCCTGCCTTTGGGCAATAAAGCTGAGCTTGCCAAGCCTCGACCAAGGGGTGGGGCAGGAACGGGGTCACTGGAACAGGCCAGGCCACTCCCTACCTCTCCTCCCTGGGAACCATCCAGTCTGGAGGGCGTGAGTTCAGGACCAGGGGCTGATGCTGAAGAGCTGAGCTCCTGTGAAGGAAACAGGAGATGTGGCAATTACCCAGCCCCAAGGAATTGAAGTCTTTTTCATCAGGAGGAAAAATAATGGCAGCACCTAGCCAAACATGTTGTGCAGAAGGGGTCTTCCACAGAACCCCACTGCTCTGCCTCAGGGTGACAGCACAACCACTCTGTGCCTGGCACGGCCCTAATGGCTGTGAGGCCCACGTGGCCTTCTGATTCAAGCCCATCACCACCGCCCTCTCCCACAGTGCAGTGAACGGGAGCCAGGCTGACCCAGGCCTGTCCCGTTCCTGATGCCCTGCTCTGGGCTGCACAGCGTGTGGGAGAGTCACTGTTCCTTTTAGGTGGGGCTATCCCTAGCTTGCGTTACTCACAGCCAGACAATTTCTTATTTGTGTTGTAGCTTAACTTTTTACGATTCTTTAAAAATAGTGGCCAAATGCATATAAAGTGGACCACCCTAATTCACAGTGCACTAAGCACTTCCTATTGTGCAGCCATCACCCCTACTCATCTCCAGAACGGATGAGACACCGGATTGGCCCCCACTTCTACTTGACCTCTGTGTTGAGCAGTGAGAGCAGAAGGCCATCTGTGCGCACACGACACAGACAAGCACAAGGGAAGGGGATGTCGGACCGGACAGGATGGCAGGCAGGCCCTCCCTGGGCTTTCTTCTTCCATCTCATTGTCCTCCACTAACCTGGGCTTCTGGGCTGGGTTCTGGCTTGGGCTGAGCCCCAGCTGGAGCCTGTCCCCTGCTGCCAGCCCGGTCTGCAAGCTGTGGCTCTTCTGCATCTGTGAATAAGGGGGCAGGAGGCCATCACCACTTCCCAATCCCACAGGGAAGGCTCCTGCTTCAGGCCTTCATGAAGAGGCCACAGGGAGGCCACAGGGAAGGGTCCCACTTTGGCCTTTGTGGAGGAGAGGCCACAGGGAAAAGGCCCATTTTGGGCCTTCATGGAGGAGAGGCCACAGCTGCTGAGAAAGTGCAGGCTGGCTCAGCCACTCTTAGTGGGAGATGTGGGCCAGAGGCTCCCAGACAAAGACTGGTCAGGTCAGCCAGTGGAGGCAGAGGAGGACCTGCTCAGGTGTGTGCTGCCTTACCTGGATTGGGTATTAACAAATTAGGAGGGATTGGGAGTGGGGCGAGTGGAGCGAAGAGGTCGGCGGGAGCAAGAGCTGGCTCATTCCGCTGAGTCCCACTTGGGTTCAGAACATCCACGTAGCGAGCCCTGGACCCACCTACGAGGGGTTGAAGAAACAAATTCCAGGTGACTGTGGGGCCCGCAATGTCAGCAGAGCAAGCAGGGGCCCAGAGGAGGAGAGGTCCCGTCCGAGGAACCCACTGGTTTGCGTCTGTGCACTTCTGGGAGGTTGCCCACGCATTTCCACCATGTCACACATGTCTCACAGGGCGTTTCTAACCGAGGGGACACATCTGCATCCATGGGTCATCAACACAGGTGCGAAAGAGTACCATGTGCACGGAGAAATGGACTCTTGCCACAGGTCTACCTCCATAAAACGTTCCAGCACTGTACCAGAAGGCTGCCCAGGGCCTGCTCAACGGCTCTACTAGACATCACCCAAAAATGCTGGGGCTATTACCTGCTTTTCTAGAAAACACGTTCACGGAGGCTGTGGGAGGCCCTTGGGGCCCAATAGGAGCTGTCTGTGGAGCCCTGGGAAATGATGTTGGAGGTGGGGGTGGCGCCTTCTTCTGCAGGGGGAGAAACAGCTCAGAAATCCACCAAGTGTCCCAGAAACCCAGTTAGGACTTTCTAAAGGGAGGGTTAAAATGCCTGAGGGTTAAAGAGCAAAGGAGGGGATTTCTTCCCCTTGCTGCCAACACCCCAAGAGCAGCTTACCTCCTCTTCTGGCTCATTCAGATTTACCCACTGGTTTTTCTTTTCATCCCAAACAATCTGCCAAGATTTTAAAAATAAAAAAAATCAGTAGATTAAAGCTCAACGTAACAGAATCTGATCACTTTGGAAACATTAAGCTTGAGGACAAGTACGTGTTTACATTCTATTCTAAACCAGATGCACTGCACACCAACAACAGGCAATCTTTAAAATACCTAACCTGCAACTTTGTGCTCCATTTCATGATACTCACTGATTTGTTCTTGTCATCTGGCAAATAAGCTTCTGTCCTTTTCTTCCCGGGAAGCCAGCGAGAGAACCAGGACTCACTCTAAACATAAAACCACCACAAGAGCCTTAAGGGTGACGTTGTATGGGAAGCACCCAGCACAATTTACAAATCCTGTCTGAGTCTGCCCACAGAGACAGAGGGCAAAACAGGAAGAGGGGCCAGCCCAGGGAGTCAGTGTTTACTGAGGACAGTGTCAGTGAAAGGATGCTCTACATGGCTGTGAATGTGCTTAATGCTCCTACTCAACTATGCATTTAAAAGGGGTTAAAGCTGGGGGGGGGGGTACAAGCCTTTAATCTCAGATACTTGGGAGGCAGAGGCAGGAGGATTGAGCCAGGAATATATTTGTGAGATCCTATCTCAAAAAGGACTAGAAGCATAGATGAAGTGGCAGCATGCTTGCTAGGGAGCCTGGGTTTGATCGCCAGGACTACAAAAAAAGGAAAAGAGTGGAGAAGGGTTGGGTAGGATGCTCTATCTCATGCATCTATGTTTGCAGTACCTCCAAGGCCTCTTGAATATCAGGCAAGTGGTCCACCACTGAGGCATACCCCCTTGTTTTATGTGTATCTTTAGGACAGTTCACAGCTGAACCTGGAGAAAGTCTCAGGCTCCTCACTGAGGAGTACATGCAGGTAGACCATCAGGAGGCTTCAACACAAAGCCCCGGGGTTCTTCCACAGCACAGAACCTGGGTGACACAGTGTGTACTTTCTGCCTCAATGAGTGGCTTCTATTGAACAGGAAAGCAAAGCCCAAAAGGGCAACACAGCCACAGACACCCCAAGTTCTATTTGGAAAGGTACCAGGCCTGGTCCAGAGTCTGCAAGTGCCTGCTCACTTCAAAACTGAAGGGCTGGGGAGCTGGACTCTGGTGGCTCATGTATGTAATCCTAGCTACTCAGGAGGCTGAGATCTGAGGATCATAGTTAGAAGCCAGTCCAGGCAGGAAAGTCAGTGGGACTCCTATCTCCAATTAACTACCAAAACACTGGAAGTGGTGTTGTGGCTCAAAGTGGTAGAGCTCTATAGCCTTGAGCAAAAGAGCTCAAGGACAGCACCCAGGCACTGAGTTCAAGCCCTGCAACAGACAAAAGGATTGCTGGCATGGTTCAGTGGCAGAGTACTGACGGGCTGGGGATGTGGTCCCGTAGTGAGTGAGAACCACCAAAACCTTTTTAAGAAACACAGAGCAACAAAAAGAATGGAAGCGTTGTGCTTTGCCTCCTAAGTCGTGTTTTAATTATTTATTTTCAAGACACTTGCTAAAAACCAAACCAAACCAGCCAACTGAACCCTCTTAAAATGCACAGCTGTGTGCTCTGCGGGCACCGCCAGGATCATGGAGGCCTGAGAGGCGCCCACACCTGACAAGGATCCGCTCTGCACGCAGGAAGGGCCCTGGTTAAAATCAGAGCAAGCACGAGGCGGGAAGTGAGGAGGGAGACAGCACAGACGCTTCAGCACGACTGCTCCTCTCCGAAGCCAGCCCGCCACAGAGGGGCATCACCAGCCCACAAGGCCTCCAGAGCCCAAATGCCAGGCGAATCCAAGCGGGGGAAGCAGTGAACAGCCAATAACCTGCTCCTTTGAGACCCAACGCAAGCACTTTAGAAACCACACAGCCCTGCCCAACACAGAGCACACACAATCCCCGTGACAGCACACTCCTTTCCAGGGAGCAACCCAGGAAACTACTACCATGGACTACTAAGAGAATATCTGTGTGCCATGATTTGTGATGACCTCAAAGGAAGCATAATCCAAACACCAGAGCTGGAGCAATGTTACTGTGGCTCACACATAGCAGCCACTACAGGATATCAGGGAACGAGGCTGCTGGCCATGTTCTGGATAGAGCTGCTGCCCTTACTCACCTGGGTTTGTTCACACACAGGAACGCTCACTCCACTAGCTGCCTTGCACTTTACCTGCTCACCATGCATGTGCTATGCCTCTAGAAGGTTTAATTAAAATGCACACAAATGCATTTTCCTTCACCCTGACTTACAAGAATTGCCCCAGGATGCCGAGCCTCCCCACGTGGCACCTGCCCAGCCTCTGCCCAAGTGGACGGGTACGGTAGGTTTGGCTGTGCTGTACCTTCTTTGGTTCCTTGACTTCTTTTCTGACTGCCTGTGCAGGTTTCTTTGCCTCAGGAGTAGGTGTCAGAGCTGGAGCAGGCTGTGTTGAAGCTGAGCTGTTATAATCCCAAACCGGGGGGTTCTCCAAGCCCTGCGCCGTCCTTGAGGTGCCCTGTCCCCAAGTAACACAGGAATTGGCTCTCAATGAGGGACCAAAGAAGCTAAGGGAAGTGCTTCCTACAACTGCCTTCCCAAGCAAGGCAGGGGAAAAAGATGCTCTGAGGCTCCTAGTCAGCTGCAGACATGGAAACCACTCCTAGCAAGGAATGACATGATGCTCACGTACACAGCAAGGACAAGACTGCTTAGATTGTCAGCATGCATTTCTCAGGGCCTGGGTGCTATCCCTGAGCTTCTCAGGGCCTGGGTGCTATCCCTGAGCCTTTTTACTCAAGGCTAGCACTCTACACTTGAGCCACAGCTCCACTTATGGCTTTCTTTCCAGTGGTTAATTGGATATTAAGAGTCTCATGAACTTTCCTGCCTGGGCTGGCTTACAACCAGGACCCTCAGATCTCAGCCTCTTGCGTAGCTAGGATCACAAGTATGAACCACCTGCACCTGGCTCAACATGCATTTTAAAAAACAGTAAGAGGAGGCTGGGCAATGGTGGCATTTGCCTCTAAGCTGCTCAGGAATGCTGAAATCTGAGGATTAAGGTTCAAAGCCAGCCAAGGTAGATAAATTTGCAAGACTACCTCCAATTAACCAACAAAATGCCAGACTAAAGGGGTGGCTCAAGTGGTAGGCCATGAGTGGAAAAAGCTAAGTGAGACTGTGAGGCCCTGATTCAAGACCTGGTATTGGCAGATACACACAAAAAAAGATAAAGAGGTCTGGGAACAACAGCTCATGCCTATAATCCCAGCTACTCAGGAGGCAGAGATCAGTAGGCTCACAGAAACCACCTTGGGCAAAAAGTTAGCAAGACTCCATCTCTAGCTAGGCATGATGGCTCATGTCTGTCACTCCAGCTACTTGGGAAGTATCGATAGAAAGACTGCCTTCAGGTCATCTGGGACAAAACCATAAAACCTATTCCCAAAATAACTAACAAAGAAAAAAAAAACTGGGGCATGGCTTAGGTAGACCACCTGTCTACCAAGGGTGAGGCCAAGTTCAACCCCTTGGTATCACCAAAATGAAAAAAAAAAAAAGGCTGAACGGGACTTCGAAATATTCATTCTTGGGCTAAGACTACATTCACATGGTTAAGCTCTCACTTTTGCTTTTCCAAGGACAGGATGTTTAAAACATGGTAAAGCTCATAATGCAAGTTCAAACCACAGGAAATTATCCACTGACAGGACATCCACATAGGGCTAAGTGTCTATAAAGAAGCTTCCAGAACAGATTTGTATAAAAGCATCTGTCTTAGCCGGGCGCTGGTGGCTCACGCCTGTAATCCTAGCTACTCAGGAGGCTGAGATCTGAGGATTGCGGTTCAAAGCCAGCCCGGGCAGGAGAGACCGTGAGACTCCTATCTCCAATAAACCACTAAAACCCAGAAGTGGCGCTGTAGCTCAAATGGTAGAGCGCTTGCCTTGAGCTGAAGAGCTGAGGGACAGCGCCCAGGCCCAGAGTTCGAGCCCCACGACCGACAAAAAAAAAAAAAAAAAAAAAAGCATCTGTCTTTCCCAGTTGGGAGTGAACAGAGGAGGTATTTGTACCAAGCCTCTCTGCTGGTATGAATGGCAGCCTCAGGAAACCAATGAACATGTCGAGTCCTGTTGTACTAGAGATGTGGAAGCCAAAAGGTTCTCCACTTCAATAATAGCCACCAGTGGCTCATGCCTGAACCCTAGCTACTAAGGCTGAGAGCTGAGGATCATGGTTCGACATCAGCCAAGGCAACAAAGTCCATGAGACTTATCTCTGATTAGCTACCAAAAAAGTGGACGTGGAGCTGTGGTTCAAGTGATAGAGCAATAGGCTTGAGCACAAAAGCTCAGGGATGGTGCCCAGACCCTGAGTTCAAGCCCCAGGACTAGCACCAAAATAATAGTAACTAATAATAATAATAATAATAATAATAATAAGGGATTTGTTATATTTGAGTATTTTTACACCTCTGAATTCTCTTTCCACCTTTCCCTACCAATGCCTTTTGACTCTTCACGTGGTTTTTGTGTTATAAGAGTGGGACAATACCAAATTAGCAAGTTTTCCACCAAAATCCTCTTCACTTAGCTCTGGAAGGGAATTTCTGACAGGCAAGTCCTGTGGTGCCACTCCTGTTAAAGCAAAAGAGAGAGACGGGGTTGTGCGCTGCTGCCCCCCAAACCAGAAGGAAGCACGGCACTGTCACAGCACCTCTGCTGAGTAACAAACAGCTTTGCGGGACTTGATCACACTGGTGTTCACTTCTAAAGCAAGACTGAAGATTTCCCCCAAGGTATGGTTACATTTTTGTTTTTTAAAACCAGGCTTGGGGCTGGGAAGGTGGCTCAGTGGTAGAGCGCTTGCCTTGCATGCCTGAGGCCCTGGGTTCGATTCCTCAGCACCATATAAGCAAAAAGAAAAAAAGCCGGAAGTAGCGCTGTGGCTCAAGTGGTAGAGCGCTAGCCTTGAGCTGAAGAGCTGAGGGACAGCACCCAGGCCCAGAGTTCAGGCCCCACGACCGGACCCCCAAAAAACAAACAAAAAAAAACAGGCTTACAGTTAGGTGCCAGTGGCTCATGCCTGTCATCCTAGCTACTCTGGAGGCTGAGATCTAAGGTTCGAGGTTCAAAGCCAGCCTGGGCAGGAAAGTCCGTGAGACTCTTATCTTCAATAAACCACCAGAAAACTGGAAGTGGCGCTGTGGCTCAAGTAGTAGAGCGCTCGCCTTGAGCTGAGGAGCTGCCAGACCCAGAGTTCAAGCCCCTTGACAAATAAAAATTAAAAAACAAAAACAAAAAGCAGGCTTCTATTTTCTTTTGCTCACATGGACAAAGCTGAGTCAGGCACAGGCAGGCACGATCACCAGTCAATCTGACTTCCAGACAGAAACGCGTCACCTTCAGCTATGCCTCCCACAGGGACTTAGAAGGACCACCATGAGCAGACCCTGCAGATGTCCCAAGGCTGCTTTGCCACGTCAGAATGGCCATTACCCTTCACGTCATAAACAGCCAAGTCACACAAGGGCTTGACAGTGCAGTGAGACTCTTAACCCCTTTTAACTCCTTGGCGGGGGATGCGGGGGTTCTGTAATGTAATAGAACTTTTGGTCCACAAGCAATGCCTCAATATGGAGGCCAATGTAGTTCTGCCCTTAGGAGAGTACCACAAGACACACCTGGGTCCAGGCTCCTGGTCTCCTGGCGCAGGGGGCCACTTTCTGGGTGTGGCAGTGCCCCCGGTGGCAGGGGTAATCCCAGATGCGGAGCTGCAGCATCAGGCCTGGCATGTTCTGGGAGGCCAAGTGCAGATCCTTGAGATCCATAGCCAGGATCTAGTTCCTGGGGGCCCCGGGACAGCGACACAGGGAACATTGGCACCCTGGCAGGATGGGCTGGCTGGTCATCAGGGAGCGTCTGTGGAGCTGCAAGGCACAATAAGGAAGCATGAGTCTAGGGTCGTCAAGGCTGAGTGTACACAGGAGGCAGACACTGTGCATCGCCATGCTTCTCTTACACAGGGGTGGCTGAAGCCATCACCCCCCCCAAAAAAAATCAGGGGTCTAGAGAAAAGGTCAACACTCATTTTCTCAGGGCTAAGAGCAGAATGGACACTGGTACCCATCATGTGTTGGGGCAGGGGCCTCAACCCACAGTATGATCCCCAAACCACACCTGGCTTGGGTGCTGCTATGTTTATGGAGCCCTCTCCTTCACTACCAGAAGTCAAATGGGCCACTCATGCCCAGAGCAGGACCCATGGCCTGCCACACCACCAGGGCAAGGGGTGCACCATGAACAAAAGCAGAGAAAACCAGGCACAGGGGCACGTGCTTGTGGTTCCAGCTACTCAGGAAGCAGAGGCAGGAGATTGCTTGAACTACTAACTTCTGGATAACACAGCAAGACCCTGTCTTTAAACAATAAAATGAGCCAGATACTGGTGGCTCATGTCTGTAATCCAAGTTACTCAGGAGGCTTAGACCTGAAGATTCCAGTTCAATGTCAGTGAGGGCAGACAAATCTGAGAGAGTCCAACCACCATTTAACTAACAAAAAGTCAAAAGTGGAGGTGAGGCTCAAGTGGTAGAGTGCCAACCTTGAGTGAAAAAGCCAAGTAAAAGTTGCTAGGCCCTGAGTTTAAGCCCTATCACTGGCACAAAAGATAAAAAGAAACTAAATGAAACAAAACTGTCCTGGGGAAATGAAACAAGGACAAAGAAAACCATCCCTGAGAGAAAAAGCCAACCAGAGTGGACGGGGAGGCCATGGACTTGGCTCAGGAGGTGGGGTAGGTGGGCAGACTGTGAAGGGGTGGGACTGGTGGCAGTTGAGTCAGTTATGTGACTGGAATACCAAGTGGGAAGGGAGGGGCGGTACTGGAGGTCAGTGTCTGGGGGCTGCTGTGGGCACATCAGGTGCAAGCTGCTACTCTCCCATCCAGGAAGGAGTTACGGGGCATGAATAAGAGAGGTGTGAACCCCAACTCCAGGAGGGATGGGGTGCCCTTTCCTAAGAAGAGAACAAGGGGAAGCAGATGCAGGGCAGGTGTGGCAGGGGCTTTGTCCTAATGGTGCACGTTCACCAGGTTCCCACAGGCACAAACAGCCAAAAGGCAGACTCAGGGGACGGGGCCACCAGGACAGGGGATCAGCGACATCAGCAGATGATTATCTGAAGCTTTGGGACTTGATGAGCTCAACAGAAGAATTAACATAGAGGGAAATGTGGAGACCAAGGGGTCCCCGGGCTCCTCCAAACTACTGTGGTGGCACACAATGTCTCAATTCTCATGGCAGCAAAAACCAAAATAAGTTCCCTGCCCAAAAGCAGGTATCAGAGAGCAATGTCCCACCTGAGGGCAGCAGCTGCACGTCCTGGCTCAGGGGCTCCGTGCTCCCCATCAGTAGGGGATTGTCAGCTCCCAGTCCTGCTGGCTGGCCAATTCCTGCACCATCCAACTGCTCTACCTCAGAGCTTGGTGTGCTGGGACACTGCTGGGGGTCTGCTCCGTCCTGGTTCCATAGCACAGCCCCCTCCTCAAGGAGAACAGAGTTAGAGCCTACATACAACATTCTACTACCAGCCCAGGCAGCCCTACACACAGCCTTCTGCCTGCTGATCTGATCGCTGCCTCCATAATACCCAATGTCCTTCCTGTACAATTAGGAAATTCCTGCAATATACACATTTCCTATGTTAATTGCTGCAGTTGAACATCTGCAGTATAAGAATGGGCACAAACCATCTACAGGCCAAGGCCTAGGACAGGGCTGTGCTGTCAGAAGGCATACCTGGGGCTGGGAAGGTGGCTCAGTGGTAGAGCGCTTGCCTTGCATGCCTGAGGCCCTGGGTTTGATTCCCCAGCACCACATAAGCAAAAAGAAAAAAGCCAGAAGTGGTGCTGTGGCTCAAGTGGTAGAGCACTAGCCTTGAGCTGAAGAGCTGAGGGACAGCACCCAGGCCCAGAGTTCAGCCCCCATGACCGGACCCCCCCCCCAAAAAAAAGAAGCCATACCTGGATCTGCCTCTCCACACATCGCAGTTGTACCAGCCAGGCAGGCTCCACAAAGGATTCCTCCTCCGGCTTCTCCTTGAGCTGAGGGTCGAAGAGGCGTAACTGGGAAGCCATCTAGAAGCCCAGAGGAACAGAGAAACTGCTAGTGCAGGTGACACAAGCAAAACAGTATCCCCAGTGCTAAATGGGACGTTAAGGTTTTAATTGGCAAATGCAGGTGGGTAATCAGAACCTAAACAGTAGAGTTCTCTGTAGACCTCACATGCTTGTGGGATCAGCGGGCCTGACGATCAGCCAGCAACTGACCATGTATCCTTGACTCCCTTGTCCTCGTGCTCACATCCCTTCCCAGGAGGAAGGGATATTGCGAGGCCATGCTGGGTAAGACGAAACAAGTATGGCCTGTGTTGGTGACTACTAAAACTGAGGGATGGGGACAGGGGACTCCTCAGTCTCTGTACTTTTGTGTAGACTCAAATGCTTCCATCCCTAAGTATCATGAGTATATGCTCAGGAAAGGAACTACTTGACACCTCACACAATGGGGCCACAGTGTGTGGACAGTGGCGGAGTGTTCTCCACACCAACCTTTGGCAGCTGGCCACACACTCCATCAGATGTGTAAGGAATAGGCTTGCAAACGTGCAGCCAGGACCACCTTAGCTGCGGAACTGCATGGGGGAGCTCTTGACCTCCAAGTTAATCTGCCTCAATCACCTGGAACAAGGAGCCTGCTCACAGAGAAGCTTACTGCTTGGCTTCCACATTGGCATGACATACCTGAAGAACTCCTGTGCTAACACTGTAAACCCAAGCCAAAGGACATTTCAGTATCTTAACTCCAAGACAGGTCTGAGAAGCTTTCAGTATCCCGACTCCCCACCTGCACCAGCTGGGTGACGAGCACTGGGGAGAAAGCGGCAGGCTGCGCCAGGATACTCTTGGCGATCACTTCACAGTAGTGGAAGGCCTGGGTGGCAAGCCCCATCTCAGCCAGGCGACAAGAATAGATGAATTTGAACACCTGCAACAACAAACACAGCTTCACTGTCCCTGGGCTTTCCCTGTGTTTCCTGAGAAGATGCTGTATGTTTGACTCTCTCTGGATGTCTCATTACCAATACCACCCACCATCACCCCTTATCCTCTAAGCCTTATCCTCTGAGGCTCTAAGGTCAAATAACTAAGCTTCTAACCAACCCGTTCTCTTCCCCTGCAATGTCTCTGACATGGCCAGCAGTGGGGCCAGACTCTCCACTAACCACTTCATATGCACACTGCGGCCTACTACAGCCCCTGTTAAACACAGCTGATGTCAAAGTACTTGAATGGTTTGTAATGTTGAATATTTTAAGAACCAAAATGCTAACCAATATCCTCAGTATCATTTAGCTTTTGAGCATTGATTAAACATCTCTACAAGATGTCCCCTCCTAAATCTCATCATTATTTGTATGAGAGTTCAAAAAAACCCAAAGAATCAATAGACACTGTGTGGAAAATGAACTATACAACTTGTGGGTAGGGGCAGGAGAGAAAAACTGGGAGGGAGCAAGGGATGCAGTGACATTGTCCAAAAGAAAATGTACTCTCTACCCGACTTACGTAACTACAACCTCCCATATATCAATATTTAATAAAAATATGTAATAACATTAATAAACATATAAAAATTAAAAAATAAAGTAACAATAAAAATATTTTTTAAAAAGAATCAAGTCTTTCAGCACTGCTCCCCCCCACACACATACACAAAAGCCATGCCACGTGTTCTTGCTTACCTGGAAATTAGGTAAGAGGCAGGTCTGGGCCCCAAGGGACTGAGCATACTCATAGGCCTCTGTCCTCTGGATGGCTTCATTGGTGGCAAACTTCAAAAATGGCAAACTGTTGGGGAAGGAAATTGAAAAAGTGACCAATTATAAGGCTGGCCATTTCTCAATTAACAGAGGGGAATCGTTTTCTTCTTGAAGGAAAATAGACGCGGCCCCGCTGCACTCCTCACCTGTGATTTGAGCCTATCAAGACAAGTTTTGTGGTTCTCTTCGTGTAAACCCCAAATCCAACTTGAGCCATCAGGTAGCAGAAGTGTGCAGCATCCAAAAGGCCTTTGGAGGCTGAGGAGAGATGGAGCAGTGCACTTCAGTTCCGAGACATCCTCCTTTCCCAGTGACGTGACCAAAGACACTAACAACAAAGCCAGGGCTCTGACAGGTCTGCAGGAGAGAGCACAGCCAATGGCCACCCCACCGACCCACCTAGCGTATCGCCCATTGTGGCCATGGTCCTGGATTCCACATCCATGTTGTTGTTCAGGTTGGATAACACCATAGCAAGATGTGGCCTCCAGTCTCCCCACTTCTCATCTCCACAACACTACAATCAGAACACAAAACATATCCTCATCCTCAGAAGAACACCACTAATTCCCTAACGGTCAAGCCCAATGAGAAAGCTGAGCAACGTAAGTCAAGCTGGGCACTGGTGGCTCATGGCCTGCAATCCAAGCTATTCAGGAAGTTGAGATCTGAGGACTGTGGTTCAAAGCCAGGCAGGGCCGAAAAGTGTGTGAGATCCGGTCATGGGGACTGAACTCAGGGCCTGGGAGCTGTCCCTCAGCTCTTCAGCTCAAGGCTAGGGCTCTACCACTTGAGCCACAGCACCACTTCTGGTTTTTTTTCTTTTTGCTTATGTGGTGCTGAGGAATCGAACCCAGGGCCTCAGGCATGCAAGGCAAGCACTCTACCACTGAGCCACCTTCCCAGCCTAAGTCTGTGAGATTTTTATCTCCAATTAACCACCAAAAAGACAGAAGTAGAGCTGTGGCTCAAGTGGTAGAGCAGAAACTTGAACTTTTTAAAGAGGCTCAGGGATAGCACCCAGCCTATGTTCAAGCTCCAGTACCAATGCATACACATATACAGACATGAACTCAAAGAGAGACTAAAGTCTCAGATCCTGTGATGAAGTCTTTTTTTTTGTTCCTTTTTGGTTGGTCATGGGGCTTCAACTCTGGGCCTGGGCGCTGTTGCTAAGCTCTTCAGCTCAAGGCTAGCTCTCTACCACTTGAGCCACAGCACCACTTCCAGCCTTTTCTGTTTATGTGGTGCTGAGAATTGGACCCAGGGCCTCATGCATGCAAGGCAAGCACTCTACCACTGAGCCACCTTCCCAGCTCCTGTGATGAAGTCTTTAATGAGAACAAACCCAATAGTGCAGGGCCCAATGCAGCACTCACCGTGGATGCAGCAGGCATCCGCCCGGACATGAGCTGATAGACTGTCTGCAGAGGGTCATTGATTGGAAGACTATTGGCAAACCTAGGTGGACACGAGAAAAGAAAGATTTAACTTTGACTCAGTTACAGAAAAAACCCTGAAGTCTAATTTCATCTCTTTTATTAATGGTCAGATTGAAGTTTAGCCTTGGCAGATGACAGCTATCTCAGCTTCAAAAAGCATAAAAAGAGCAAAGAACAGGGAATTTGAGGTCTTAAAGGAAATATTGGAAACCAGCTGGGTGCCAGTGGCTCACCTCCACAATCCTAGCTACTTAGAAGGCTGAGAAAGAGAAGATCATAGTTCAAGGTTAGCTCGGGCAAAAAAGTTTTCTCAAAACCCCTTCTCAACCCATAGCTAGCTGTGGTGGCACAAAAGGTGGAGCTTGGGAAGATCACAGTTCCAGGCCAGCCCAGGAAGATAAGTCTATGAAACTTTGTCTCCAAGGCAGAAGCTGTTCATGGTGGTGTACGTCTATCCCAGCTATCTTGGGATCAAGACCTTACCTCAAAAATAACCAATGTGAAAAAGGACTGGAGGAATGAATCAGTGGTAGAGCACCTGCCTAACAAGTGCACGGTCATGAGTTCAAATCCCAATACCACTGACAATATTAATCAGTTGACAAAAAAAATTAAAAATTGCTCAATAGCTTGACCCAAGGAAAAAAAAACCAGTAAGCTCAGAGCTCAAGCTTGGCAGCCTTAGAGCACAGCAGGGCACGTGTGTGCTGCAGCCATGGGCTTAGCACCTAGCAAGGACTGTGTGACAGCTGTCTTACCTGGTCATGACACGGGCATGTGTCCGGCTGTCCATCTTACTTGCAAGCAGCAGAGCGTGACCCCACAAGCCATTTTTCATTGCAGACTCCAAAGCATCCTGCAATGCATTTGGGATTTGTGTGAGTCACCTCACTCTGTAACTAGGACCCAGACTACTGTGCCACCTAGGATCTGCGGATGCTCCAGGAGGGGACAGTCCCCTGCCCACTGAGGGCCTAACGCCCACAACAGTGGAATATGGAGGGGCCAGGGGCTCCAGGACCATGCAACACCAAGAACAAAAGGGGTAAGTGCAGAGGCACCTGGGGTTGGTCTCAGGACCACACACCTTCTTGCGGCCATAGAGCAGAAGCTCTCGGAACCGTTCGGTTTCCTTCTCAAGCATGCTGCTGCTGGTGGCTGTCTGGCTGTCGGTGAGGAATGAGAGCTGCGCTTCACCGGACTCCTCTTCCTCCGCTTGTTCAACAGCCTCATTAGTGAAGTCTATGAGGTTGGCTTCGTGGGGTGACTTCCCAGGAAGCCACACTGTCCTATGATCTCGTAACAATAGCTCTGCGATGTCGGTCCCCACCACGGTCTGTAAGGCCACCAAGGGGAGGGGGGAGCAACACAAGGCTTTAATGTGAACAGGGGTTCCAGAAAAGTGACAAGACAGGCCCCTGATGCTGTCAGATGACAGTCCTGATCAGCTGACTGCAGGTGGCAAGTTAGAACACCAGACACAAGTGTGTCCTTGATGGGGTCAAAGGGCTGAGACCTCTCAGCATGCCCCACACAGCATCCTGCCTTCCCCTCTGCTCCCCAGGCTGAAGCCAAGATGCCTTCTTGGTGTGGCAGGCCTGACACTACAACACACACAGGAATGGTCCTGACACCAAAGGTCAACAGAGAGGACATTCTACAAGGAAAGGAACGTACCCCATTCTGTCTGCACAACAGAATAATAAAATTCCATAGAAGACTTGCAGACTCTTTGTCAATCAAGTTTTCATTCTGCAAACATTTTGTAGCTTTGTTCTGTGCAAAATTAATAACATCCACTTTATGGGTGTCGTCTCTGGAAGAAGAACAAGTATTCTGAGAATGGAGGCCAGGGCTATGAAGCCAAACTCAGCAACTGCCTCTGTGCAGACTCAAGACACCAACGAGGAACTTACTTGCCGAGAGGTCCGGGGAAGGAGCGCATCTCCTCCTGCTCGGGTGTGTGCTGCAGTAAAGTCTAAAAGCAGAGGGGACAGGAAGTAGCTCACACATGTGGTCCAAGCCCCGGATGCTGCCTGCACCAAGAGCCCAGGATGCAGATGCCCTCCTGAGACCCTGCCTATCTTACTATGTGGGGCACACGGTTTTGTCAGTGGGCCCACATGGGCTATGACAGATATACTCGGCGCCTCTGCCCCTCAGCCTGCTGCTACTGCTCCAGACTCCCTCACAGCATCCTCTCCACCTGTCCATACCAACACCCCCCAAATCAAAATCAAAAGATGTGAATAAAAATACAAAACATCCAGAAGTGCTAAATCTAACACCCACAGCAGTTGCTTAAAAGACCAACTACTATGTGAAAAACCCTCCACCAAACAAAACTCCCCAGGTTGTAGCTTCACAGGCATAAACATTTCCCAGAAGGATGGGCAAGGTGAATCACACCAGCAATCTTAGCTATTAAGGAGGCAGAGATAAGAAAGGTCAGAGTTTGAGGCCAGTCTGGCAGAAAAAGTTAGCAAGACCTCAACAAGCTGGTTCATCCAAGGTAATGGGAGAGAGCTAATAGAGAGGCTGACTGCAATCAAGGCCAGCCTGAGCAAATAAAGCAAAACCCTATTCAAAAAATAACTAAAGCAAACAAGAGCTGGGGGCATGACTCAAGTTGTGGAGTACCTGTCTAGCAAGTATGAGGCCCTTAGTTCAAATCCCAGGGCTGCCAAAAAAGGAAAACAAAACAAAACAACCAATTCCCAGGTCTGTGTTTCCAAACACAAGAGTCAAGTTGGTTGTAGAAAAATCCCAACCCAGCTGGGTGCTGGTGGCTCATGCCTGTAATTCTACCTACTCAGGAGGCTGAGATCTAAGAATCGTGGTTCAAAGCCAGCCTGGGCAGGAAAGTCTGTGAAACTCTTATCTCCAATTAATTACCAGAAAACTGGAAGTGGTACTGTGGCTCAAAGTGGTTAGCACTACCCAGAAAGATCTCAGGGACAGCACCCAGGCCCAGAGTTCAGGCCCCATGACAGACCAAAAACATAAATAAATAAAAATAGTAAATGATAAGGCGTGTGGCACAGAGGGCCCCTAGCCTTACCTCCAAGCTATGGATCTCAACCAGTGCAGGCTGTCCTTCCGAAGGCAGGTTAGGAACCACCTTAATGAGGTGACCACCAGGTCCAAACCTGGCACAGATGTGAGGCACTGAAAACTTCTCAGGAGAAGTCGGTCTTGATGGAACTGCAAACAATTCAACAGAAGAAGAAGCCATTGGCTTGCTGCTGCCTGTGCTCCACAAGTACAGTCCGACTCCTGAGCAGCTCCACCGGCTCAGCTTGGCCTGACCACCACAGAGCACCCAACCACAAAGACACAGTCAAACAGGCAAGGAGAAAAGAAAGAAGAGAGACTAGGAGATAGACCAATGCGAGTCCAAGGGGATTTCTGTGTTCTGGAAGCCTCCAGAAGCAAGACTTGCTCAGTCAGATAGATACACAGAACAAGTCTACCAAGGGGAAATGAAGTTTCCTCCAAGACTGCTCACAGACATGGCCAGTGCTGGGGCCATGGGCAGTACCTCCAAGGGCCTATCCTCAGAGATACACATTGAAACAACATATGTGTGGACCTGGCCCCAGGGGCATCCAAGGGCCAGCACTGACCTACATCCCCAGTTCTACCATTCTGACCTTAGGATGCACAGAGGAGCCAGGCCAGGCCCACCCCTCAGAAATCCCAATCAAGAACTGACTCCTACAGGGTAGGATGTCAGGCAGGAGGATCTTGGACTTATCCAAGACACCCTGCACTACTTAGTGACACTAAGTTTCAACAAAAAGAACCTACTTCTCCTTTTGACCCACTGGTAGCCTCCCTCAGTGCTGCTGAAAACACACCTTGCTCCACGGCAGGCCAGGTGCCGTCAACAGGATAGCCATACTCTGGAAAGCCATGGGTAGTGCCGATATTGCTGCCATAGGTGCCATAGGCATAATCGCCATGAAATGAGCCAGAAGGAGGCGGGGCCTCAAAGGAACCAGTAGTCACGTTTTGGCTTCTGTAAATCTGACTCTTGGGAAAGAAAGCAAGCAGGGAAAGTGAGCTCCCACAAGCATCAAGAAGGTGGTGGGCACAAAATTAACAGGACTTAAGAAACAAAGAACTTCCACTCATCTGGTCGAACCACTGCTAAATAACCCCATGCTGCTGATCACATGTATGGTATATATGTGCACACCGGAGGGGAACCAGGAAGACGACACAGAACTAGAGGGAATCAGGGAAAAACATACAACAGCGGGACCCATTAGCTGCACAGGACATTGACCAAAATGAACTAAGCAACTTAATGGCAGCGATGGGAGGGAGGGAACAAAAATGGGAAAGAGGAAACAGCTGATGCTATGCAAAACAAAAGAAATGTACATACCACCCAATGTGGAAGAAATAACTATCACAAACCTCATAGAACTCATAAATGTTATAGACTGTGATAGACAATTTGCTCCAGGAAAGTTAGAATGTGTTTGTGACTTTAACTGAGCATCACTATCCCACAATACTGTGAAATTTGGGAAATTATGTAATCACTTAATCACAATAAAAAAAAAAAAAAGAAGGTGGTGGGCACACTGTTGGAACCATGAACTGAGCTACAGACAGAAATGCCCGCCCATCCTACTGGGCGCACCTGGTGTGAGTGTGAGCTGAGGCTGCTGCGGCGGCTGGGCAGACTATGCCCACTGCGCAGGCTCCGAGCTGAGTGCTCGCTGTGGACGCTGCGTCGGTCGACCTCCTCCCCATAAGGGTCCTTATGAGGCTCAGTGTCATCATCAAAGCTCCCCGTGAAGCGAGGGTCATATCTCCAGTGATCATCACACTTTTCAAGCCTAGAGGAAACAGGAGCTCAGGGCAAAGAACAAGAGACAGGACAACTCCTGGGGATGACACGCATCTACCAGCTAACTCCAAAGGCTGGGCTGGCCCTCCTCACCATCCTCCCTTCCATCCCAAGGCAGTCCTCATCCTGAAGCGTCCCCAAGTTCAACCCAGGTGGCCTCAGAGAACACAATGCAGATACACTTCCAGTGTGGTCTCTTCTCTGGGCCATGGCAGGACAAAGAGACATGGATGGAGGAAAGAGGGGGCCAGACAGAAGGCACCGTGCAGAGCCACTCATGGTAGGCTGGTTCTCTTCCCACAGCCCAGAGCTGGAAGGCCCAGAGATATGGCCAGCCCTTCCTCTTTCCAAGTATCAGGCAAGCCCTCTGATGAACTCAAAGACAGGAGAGTAGGTAAGCAAGCACATGACAAGGCTTAACCTAAACTCCTTCAGCTGAACGCTATTACCCACCTGTCCCCATAAGCATAGGTTTCCTTCCTGTATGGGTCGGGCTCGGCATCATACCAGGGCCTTCGGTCCCAGACACGGGTATCTCTGAGTCTGGAACCATGGTAACGTTCCCAGCGACCCGGGTCTGCAAATTCAGGAAGAAGGGTCAGTGAGGCACACAAGGAAGAACCACCCAGCTCTCCTGGAGCAGTCATCTTGTCTTCTCCCCCCTGCTGAGGACACCAGGGCTCCCAAGGATCCAACTGCTCAGGATGATGGACCTGGCCCTAGAGTATGGACCTTCACAACACAGACACCAGGTGCATCCTGCCTCTGAGACACCGCACAGCTGTGGGCAACCATTCAAGGTATTTCTTTTTTCTTTTTTTGTGCTAGTCCTGGACTATAACTCAAGGCCTGGGCACTGTCCCCAAGCTCTTTTTTTTTTCCCCTCAAGGCTAGTGTTTAAGCACGTGAGACTACTGGCTTTTTGGCAGTGGACTGGAGATAAGAATCTCACAGTTTTCCTGCCCAGGCTGGCTTCAAACCTCCATCCTCTGATCTCAGCCTTATGCTAAGCATGATCCATATATGATTACAGCTGTGAGCCACCAGTGCCCAGCTGAAACACGTTTACTATTGAACGGAAAGAGAACAGACATCTGTGGGTGCTGGTGGCTCAACTTATAATCCTAGCTACTCAGGAGGCTGAGATCTGAAGATAGTGGTTCAAAACCAGCCTGGGCAGGAAAGTCTGTGAGACACTTATCTCCAATAAACCACTCAGAAAACTGGGCAGGAAAGTCTGTGAGACACTTATCTCCAATAAACCACTCAGAAAACTGGAAGTGGCACTGTGGCTCAAATGGTTGAGTGCTAGCCTTGAGCTGAGGAGCTGAGGGACAGTGCCCAGGCCCAGAGTTCAAGCCCCACGACCAACCAAAAAAAAAAAAAAAAAA